GACCTGCCCAAGACAGTCCGTAGTTATGTCCAGTCCCGAGGACGATGTCGAACAAGCGATTCTCAGTTCATCTTAATGCTTGAAAGGTGAAGGCTACTTTTTTTTTGTTTTGTTTTATATAAAAGTCATTTTAAGTCTACTAAGATTGTTTTTGACATATATTTACAGGGGCAACAAGAAACAAATAGATCAAGTATTTGACGTCATCAGGAGCGAGTATTCAATGACAGAGACGTCAAGAAACAGAGACCCTGAAGTATGCATTTTAAGAAATTGTAATTTTGAGGAAACAAAAGCATATTATGTAAATGCTACTGGAGCATCAGTTACAGCCGATTCTAGTGTCAGTCTCATACATCGATACTGCGAAAAGCTCCCTGGCGATAAGTACGGATATTTTCCCTTGTCACAAGTTCTATTATTCATTTGAGTAGTTGTTCTTCTACATTTTCTACATGATTATTGCAAAATGTAGGTACTTTATTCCAAAGCCAACTTTCGACTTCGAAATGTCTGAAGGGTTGTACCAGTGCAAAATAACATTACCTCCTAATGCAGTTTTTCAAACAACAGTTGGTCCTCTGAGCAGCAACACTCATTTATCAAAGCAGCTCGTATGCTTGGAAGCTTGTAAAATGCTCCATGAAATGGGAGCCTTGGATGATCATCTTCTCCCACTTATCAAAGAGCCTTCAGAAAATGATCTCATTACAAAAAGCAAAGAATCATCTGCAGGTGCAGGTATGTGTATGCATGAACCTAATTTTTTGGCTTTCAAGGGAAGACTATCTACAACTTATAGTTTTGTACTATTATAAATATGTTATTGGTCATTATCATTATCCAAGGATTTTTATTTTATGTAAGGAACAACTAAAAGGAAAGAACTGCATGGGACGACTTGCATTCATGCGTTATGTGGAACTTGGGGAGAAAAACTTGATGGTGAAATTTTTGAGGCCTATAAATTTGACTTCTTCTGTAATATTAATGAGACATACTCGGGATTTGTTCTACTGATTGAGTCAAAGCTTGATAATGATGTGCAAAATATTGAAGTGGATCTTCAATTGATTTCAAGGATGGTTAAATCTTCTGTTTCTTCTTGTGGAAAAATGCACCTGAGTGCAAAAGAGGTAAGCTTGTTATATTAACTCCCCAGTTTCTTCTTCCGTTATTTAAAATTTGAATATAGTTTTAGAAAGCACTTTCTGTAACTCTATGATGCCTATTTTCTAACCAGGTAATGCAAGCTAAGTGCTTTCAAGAATTTTTCTTTAATGGCTTGTTTGGGAGATTGTTTTCGGGATCCGAATCAGAAGGGACAAATAGAGAGTTTTTACTTCAGACAGAAACAAAATCACTATGGAGCTCATCATATATGTATTTGCTTTTACCAATTGAGACATTGGACACTTCTAATACCAATCCTTGGAGAGTGAATTGGATAGGAATCAGTTCTTGTGCTAATGTGGTAGAGTTTTTGAAGAAAAACTATTCCGTGGGTCCTGAGCATTTTAACGGTGATCAAGGAAACTTATCACTTTCTATGACTGGTTCATCCATGACAGAGTGCATGGCTTCAGATCTAATCCACTTTGCTAATACTTCAATTGATGTTCATAATCTCCAAGATTTGTTAGTATTGGCTACTCACACAGGAAGAATCTATTCAATCGTTGAAGTCATTAGTAGCAAATCTGCTGAAAGTCCCTTTGAGGAAGCTGTTGATGCTGCCTCATTAGAATACAGCTATGCTGAGTACTTCAAAACAAAGTAGGTGATATGTGATCCTCTACAATCTGTCATGCTTATTAAATTTTTCTCCCTGACTTACCATATATAACTTGCTGCTGCTAACACGAACATGTTCAGGTATGGGATTGTCCTTGTGTATCCTGGACAGCCGCTGTTACGGTTAAAGCAAAGTCATAATCCCCATAACCTGCTTGGTGCTGAAGGTTTGTTAAGTTGTACACTTGGTGCTTTGTTTTACATATTTCCTCATCCAATGCGGCATGTGATCTTTTCTCGAAATGTTTCTTTTCTTTCATTGATGAATCCAAATTGAGCAGGTGCTGCATCAAAAGATGGTCGTTCTGCTGAGATAAAGCCACAAGCTCATGTTCACATGCCACCTGAGGTCTTAGTTAGTATTGATTTTCAAGTAGATGTTCTCAGATCATTTTACTTGCTACCATCATTAATGTACCGTTTGGAGTCACTAATGTTAGCTAGCCAGCTTAGAGAGGAGATCAATGGCAAATGGGGCAACATTAAAATATCAAGTTCATTGGTTAGTTCTATTATCAACGTAATTCGCTATCATTCGGTACTATAAGCAATCTAATACGAAATGTTTTGCGATTAGATTCTAGAAGCACTCACAACACTTAGGTGTTGTGAAAATTTCTCATTGGAACGTCTGGAGTTTCTTGGAGATTCAGTTCTCAAGTATGTTGTGAGCTCCCACCTTTTTCTTAAATATCCCGAGAAACATGAAGGGCAATTAACTGCTCGACGCACAAGGGCTATTTGTAATGCAAACCTGCATAAACTAGGAACAGAACGCAACATACAGGTTTTGGATCTTCTCTCCTTTCTTTATGCCTTATTTCAAGCTATAATTTATTTTCACATTGCTGAATTCATGAACACAAATACAGTCATTTTTCTGTGTTTATCTTTTCTGGATACTTTTATGAACAAAGAATTATTTCTTATTTGGCAGGGATACATACGAGACGGTGCATTTGAACCACGCCGTTGGGCTGCTCCAGGGCAGCATTCTAGATTTCCTGATCCATGTAAGTGTGGAGTGGATACTTTAGAAGTACCTTTGGACAGCAGATTTCAAACTAAAGATCCTGTTAAGGTTGGAAAGTTCTGTGATAGAGGTCACAGATGGATGAACTCAAAAACCATAGCTGATTGTGTTGAGGCCCTCATTGGCGCCTACTATGTGGGTGAAGGATTGTTTGCTGCACTTCATGTGATGAAGTGGCTTGGTATTGATTCTGAATTGGAACTCTCATTAACCATTGAAGCCATTACGAGGGCATCCCTGCGATCCTACATTCCGAAAAATGATCAAATTGAAGCCTTGGAGTCGAAGCTTGGCTACAAATTTTCTGTCAAGGGTCTGTTACAGGAGGCCATAACACATGCCTCTCAGCAAAAACTAGGTGCCAGCTACTGTTACCAGGTTGCCACTGATTCTTTCTGGACATAATAGTTTGTTCTATTCTCTTTTCAAATAAAGGGATCCACATAATAGCTCACTTTTGCTTCTTGAATTATTGACAGAGGCTTGAATTTCTTGGTGATGCGGTGTTGGATGTTCTAATCACACAGCATCTCTATCATAGCCACACAGATGTCGATCCAGGAGAGCTGACTGACTTGCGTTCAGCTGCTGTTAGCAATGAAAGCTTTGCTCGAGCTGCTGTAAGAAGAAACCTTCACCCACATCTTCAACATTGCTCTGGGTTACTTCTGAGTCATATCACAGAGTATGAGAAGTTGTGTACAGAAGCTCTCAACAACACCAGCTTATTGGAAGAGATAAAAGGTCCAAAGGTAAGACTACTTGGCTTTCAAAGTTTTATACAGTTTGCTGCTTTGCGTTAGTGTGATGTTATGCCTCTAATTATGTATTGTTTAATGGTAATGCTCTTGTCTGATACAGGCTCTTGGTGACGTGGTGGAGAGCATAGCAGGGGCTATACTAATTGATAGCAAGCTTGATCTTGATGAAGTTTGGAGGGTGTTTAAACCACTATTATCTCCGATCGTGACCCCTTCAACTCTTCAATTAGACCCGCTACGTAAATTGAAGGAACGATGTGATTCTCTTGGGTACTTCGTGAAAGAAACATTTACTAAAGAGGATGCAATTGTCAATGCAGAGCTGAGTTTGCAGCTGGAAGATGTTATTTTGGTTGGAAAAGGATACGAACGGAAAGCGAAAGCTGCAAAACAGAGAGCAGCTCGTCAATTGTTGAAGAAGTTTGAGGGTTACTTGGTAAGATGTTGTTCATTATAACATTTGCCTTATGTCTCGGATTAGTGTTGGCTTTTCACCACCTAGTATGTTACTTTCAATGCAGCAGAGGAGCAGAGACATATCTTATGTCCAGTTTGATTCTAAAAGGAGAAAACTTGAACGTGAGCATTTGGATGATTTATCATCCAAAGACATGAATATTGATACCTGCAGCAAATTAACTGATGATGGTTCTTCAAAGCCAATCATGCATACAAACGAAAACATGACTCAAATGTTATCATCTGCAGAGTCAAGAGTAGACTCTACACCAGCCAATGGCTGTTCCAACAAAGTCTTCGGTGACAACATTGAAAACTCAGGCTTACCTGGTTAGTGCCACAAATGCATTTCATTTTAGTTTTTCAATAAAGAAACAAGATATGTAGTTATTCTGTTTTATTTGCTATTGGTTCTTGTTTGCAGTTATTGATTCGATCAATACAAGGAAAGGCGAACCTCGGAAAATGCTCTACGAACTATGCCAGAAATTGCAGTGGCGAAGGCCTGAATTTACAACAACAGAGGATAAATCAAGGTGATTAAAATCTTTCAAACGACACTTCTACTCTCTTTTGACCGAGAAAAATAGAAGAAAACTCTACTTCTCTTACTTTCTATTTTCCTATGGGTTTAACTAACTAGTGTCTTCCTCATGCAGAACCCCAATAGAATTTGGTGAGGGCTCTGAAAAGAGAAAAGGTTTCAGCAGTTTTGTTTCAGACATCAGCTTGCAGATACCCAACTTTGGCACTATTGTATGCAGAGGAGAACCTAGAGCTGATAAAAATAGTTCATTTGACTCCGCAGTAGTTGCCATGCTTTACGAGCTTGAACGACGGGGAAGACTTACCATTGGATGCTCTTAATATGCTAAAATATCAAATTGTGAGCAAAACTTTATCCTAATACAGCCTGAGCTTCTAATATTGACTTGGCTCTCATACACTAGATGTAAAATCTGCTTTTGTGAAATTTGCTATTCGTATAAAATGCAAAAAGGTCAAGTATTACAGTATCAGTCACAAAGGGGGTAAAAGAGAAAATTGGTCGTACTATGTACACAAACACCAAGAAGGTTATGAACACATTTTTTTCCTTCTGAAAATAGGAGTTCCATGACCCCAATCAACAACTTTATTCTCTTTACTCTTCACTCACAACTACTTTCAACCGCCAACTACAAAAAACCTGCGAAAAAAAAGATAGAAACAAGAAGATGAACATAGAGAGAGAGAGAGAGAGAGTCAATAATCTTGTATCAACATAGGATGGAAGAGATAAGTCACCTTAAATGACAATCCCATTAGAACTGGATCAGTGAACTCAGATGTGGTAATGAATGCATTGGTTGAGTCAACAGGCATTGTTGGCCGGCAATTCAGTAGTCTTTTGTTCCAAGAAACTGGCGCTCATCTTCCCGGGTTGTGATTATAATTGCAACTTCTTGGCCAACAAGAGTTGGATCCCTGCAATGTTCAATAGCATATTCAAGTTGTCAAGTGATAAGAATTGGTCATAAGAATACAAGCCAACTGCATACAAGGAATTAGAGATTCAAAATTGATCCATGTTTATAAACAAAATTCAACTTATCCCCATGGTTAATAGGAACTTACAGTCGAGCTGTCTTCCTTTAAACTTTCCAGTGACTCAGCAAGCTCCACTTGTTTTGATGCAGTTGCAAGCAATGCCTGCAAGAAAAGCTCTTGGTTTTAGTAGTCAACTCCATCCTGATTGGTAGAAGTAGTTTGGTGTAAACCATGGTTATAACAAAAAAGGTTGTCTTACTTTCTTTGTCTTCTGTAAGTCATATTCTATAGATTTAATACGACTCAAAGATTCATGAAGCATGTCTTCTTTCTCTGGAGGAATTTTTGTAGGTTTGTTAATCAACTCGGTAACCAACCCTTCTAATTGCTGCAGCCTCTGCCAGAGAGGGTCTACTTCTATTCCCTGTGAAATGTGCTGTTCCTGAGAACTTGAATTTGCAAGCAGCAGTGGTTCGCATGAACTTTTTAAGTGGTTTTCTTCATGACGTGCGGCAAATATTCTCCACAACCTTGGGAATACAAGAAATATACATGCTAATATTTTTAGTGTGAATTGAATAATTAAACTCGCTCCACGTGGAATGAATGACTTCAGCTGCCTTCCCGGAGTGAAATTCACAAGTGAATTACCTGTCAAGAACAAGTTAAGAACATGTAAAAGCATCCTTGCATAACCAAACCCTCCCAGTATTTACAATTCCAGTGAATGAAAGAATCTGCACTGAAAATTAAAACTTAGGCAACTCTAATGAGAAACTAACTACAATACAGCAGTGAACCTTATTATCTTTTCACATTTAAAGGGAAATTCAGCTGCAGTCCCTGCCTAAAATTTGGGCTGGCTTGGGAATTCAAAACCAGCCTGGCCAGCCCTACTGGTTTACCTATACTTTTTTCCAATGTTATTCTTGTTGTTTTCACCAAATAATATAATAATCGTTATTTCCCAACAAAAAAAAAAAAAAAAGGGCTGTAAACCAGGTCGGAGGCATGATTAGAAAATTGATCAATCACTATATGAGTAAATCTAGGCAATATGATAATGACTGATGATCACCTACTTGTTGAACTTGAATTAACAACTTCCATTCTTCCAGCAGCACTGCCAAGTTCAACTGGGCTGCAGATAGATGCAGAGTCACTTGCCCTCCTCTGAGACAAATCAGACAAAATATGGTGGGAAGCAAGAGTTAAAAATCGATTGACATTTTATAGATTTTGGTCTATGAAGAATTCAAAAATTACAGAGGGGCGAAGATTACAAGGAAAGTAGCATAAAACTTGTGATTATATCGTTAGTCATAATCACAAGTAATTTCTCAGTAAGATAGATAGATGCTATTAATGAAATAGCTATTCAAGATGCAGTCACTAGTGAAGTTAAAAGATAAGGCACCCAAGCAAAGAACTTCAGAAGTTTACCTTGTCAGAATGAGAGGTCAGCAATTGCAAGAAGCCAGAAACACTTGACGTCATTTCTGATCCTGACTTAGGTGCAGATATTATTTCATTTTCTGTAACCTGAACAGTAAACCCAAGTAACATGAAATATGGCACGAGTAGAAGGTAATAAAGGACATAATCTATGGTATATTTGTCTTCAAGTCACCTTAGAGGCAATCAGTTTGACTCCTAAATCATCGCCATCAGAAGAACCATTGATTTTCCTCAAGTCCATTGTTTCTCCAATGTGTATCAGCTGCAAATATAGGTCATATGAGTAATGATGTAAGTTTTCAGGCAAGAAAAACCATTATATATCGGCCTATTAGTTCAAAGTATTGATATAGCAAGTATAAATGTGACAGCACTGTTACTCGACTAGAGTCATACTTTTACTATCTCTGGATCATTCCAGGGCCCCTTGCCAGACCTAAGGCACCCGCCTTCATTTGGACACGAGCAAGTTCCCCCAAGGAAATCTGGAAGTTGACTGTTTAAAGAGAGTTGCTGAAATAAGTTTTGTAGCTCGAACCGAAAATTTCCAACAGTTATTATATACTCAAAAAACAAACCATTTTAACAGATAGTAAGACGTCCTAACCTTGAGTCTATAACTTCCAACAACTTGCTTCTGAATTTGTTGCCTAATACCTGCAGAATCAATGCAGAGGCACTTATGAATAGTTCATAAAACCTTCAAAATGAAAGTAAAAACCCACAAATGTATTCTCATACATGTATCTTTCCAGTAGTCCTTGGGTCAAGAAATCCTTTTGCTGTGTTCCAAAGTAGCTTGAACCCATTACCAGCATTTACCACAAACATCTGATGTAATGTCTGGAGAATGAGCTAATATCAGAATAAACACATAGATTTTCGTTAAATGGTATTAGTTGGTTTCATCATGTAACAATAAACCTACCTCAGGATAGTTATCACCATCAATTTTCTGCATGCGCATAACAATGTCATGTGCAACCTTACCAAAGCTCACCCAATTCTGCATAAGAATAAAGAAAAATAACAAAAAGACATAAGTAGAGTTATGGCACAAAATTCATATGATGCACAGAGCTGAATAAGTGCATTTGTAAGTTAAGAAATTACCAGCCCCTGGACGTCTAGTATAGTTGTTGTAGAATCTATATGCCTTTTGGCTGCAATAGAACATGCAGGAAATTTCTCAGCAAAGGCTTTCTCAAAACCCTGGACATGATATTTTAGAAACCGGTCCACTGTGGTGACATTCATAAGCTTGCTAAGTTCAACTTTGCCAACTCTTTCAATATAAACAGGCCGTCCCTCCTTGTCTACACCATGATAACCATGAGGGTAAAAACGCTGAACCTCTTCATACTCACTGTACACGAAATCCTAAAAATTTATCATTATATCAACACCTCCATTAGAATTCTGAAATTGAAATTAAATCTCAGCTAATACAGACATTAAAAAGGTTAATCTTGTTCAGAACTCTGCAGTCCATAAGGATTAATAATAAAAGCTTATTTGTTTATTAAAAAACAATACATGCATCTGTTGTTCATCACAAGACTCTTATAACATTATACCTTCACAATAGATTCTACTCCAAACTCTTTCCTCCAGTTGAGCATTTCTGCCCACATGTGGACAGCTTTATCAATGTCAAACTTCCTTGCCTTTAAAAATCTGCATAGACAAGGATTAGTTATTTTATTTGTGATTATATGCAAGAGCTAAAAGGAGAATTAAAAAGAGTACTGTGTTTAATTTCCTCTGGGGAAGATCTGTAAATTAGTACTTTTGGATGCAAGCACCATTTTCAACAAACAACAAAAACTCATGGACATTGATATTTTGAATTTAATTGGTTTCCCTCTTCCTGGATAGATCCACCATAAAATCGGTCTTCTACAGTGGTGCATCAATCTCAAACCACAGAAGTTATCACCTTCAGATAGGGTTGAGAGGCAGAGTAGGACTCACATAATCAACCCAAATTAGGTCAAGTTAAAGCTAAATAGGATATTACAGTACTGTCAACAACAAAAAATACTGTATATCACAAACTACATGCATATGATGCTACTAAAACAGCTGCTGTATTGAAGCCTTCTCTAACATCCATCTAACTAGCCAATTAATATGCACTGTGTGATATACATACTATCATTACAGTGATCCAGTTACCTCAGCATTGTATGATAATCATCGTACTGAGCCGGGAGCATATCTCTAGCAACCAATGCCTCGCGAAACGTAATTACAGCTTCTTCCTCCTCAGCATCCCGAACATCTTCGATTGAAATCAACGCGTACCGGCAATTGGCTACACGTTTTCTGCGCTTTCTAAGACTATTTGTTAATCTCAAGGAAGCGTTCGTGGTCTTTTTCTTCAGAGATCTGCCGCGAGACCACCGCCTCTCGTCCTCGGAGGTTTCAAAATCAAAAGTTCTAGATTTTTCATCTTCTTGAAACGCAACGACTTCTCCTACAATTACTTATCAAACGCAGAAATTGAGAACTGAAACTAAACAACAACAAAAAAGATCAGATTTGGTTGAGAATAGTATAGAGGCATTGAATTAATGTACCTGGCATTGTTGTTCACCAAATCGGTCTACAGCTTGAGCTCAGATTACATCTGCATCAAATCAGAGCAACAAAAACAGTGAAAATCAAATAAACATATCATCAAATTAACAAATAAAATGTGGTATTCGAATGAGAATTATCTCAGTAAATACTCATAGTTAAAGAAAACGACGAAATCTACCAAGAATTTTTCAAAAGCTTCTATAACACCGACAAAATGGATCGAAACAGAATCCAGAAATGAAAATTCAAAGCCACTGAAAAACAAAAGAAAATACGAATTCAATTTTGCATTAATATTACCATAAGCAATCAGCTATAGATGACAAATCGGAAGCACAAGACTTTCAATTTGCAATGAAGCGCATTCGCGGAATCGAGCGCGCGTGGTTCAGAATTGAATTTGCTGCTTCTCTTTCTCTCTCGCTCTCTCTGAATTTACAGCACCTGAGGAGAGACGAGAGAGAGAGGAAGAGAAAGCGAAATGGTAGTTGCTTTCGGATTAAAATGGCATTTTCTTATTTGTTTCTCTCTCTAAACTGTGTGTCTGAAGAAGAAGAAGAGAGAGAGAAAGAGAGCTGACACAGAAGGAACGTAGAGGTAGCGGAGAGGAAGAGAGAGAGAGAGAGGCATGTCGTTGTCAAAAGCGTTAGTAGAAGAAGACGTAGCGTGCAACGGCCGCTTTGTCTCCGTCACCTGCTTCGTTTACATTTTTTCCAATTTTCAGTTTATTTTTTGTCCTTCCTTTAATTAATTAATTAATATATTTATTTTCTTGGCGCCGTTTGTTAACGGGAGACGGAGGAGGTGTTGGAGTTGATTAGGTGCTGTAGAGTTTACGCTACGCATGAACGGAATTTTTGGGGTGTAAAATTTCATTTTTTTTTGTGCCACGTCATCGTCCACTTTGTGGTGACACGTGGAATGCGCGTCGGTGATGTGATGTGATGTGAGGTTGCTCTCAATTCCTCCTCAATTGGATGCCGATTCGAGAATAAGAATGAGATGCCACACTTTAAACAAGGAACAAAACCGGAAGGCGGCCTCGTGCGCCTATCATAATACACCTTTACTCACCCTTTATTGGGTTCTAAAGCACTAAGCTAAGCCTAAGTTTATAGATAGTGGCTAGTTCAGTTGATCAAAATAGTATATTCGATTTTGATCTCTTCTCTTGTATATAAAAGTCTTTTAGAATAAATTGTTCCTATTTCGGCTCATTAAATGAATTTTGTGCCTAACTGAATGATTTGTGGAATTATCATGATCTTAGCAACAATGAAAGATTGCCCATCTTATCTCTTTTAACTTGTTTAACATCGATCAACTGATTATCATATCATAGACAACACCTAACAAGTTTGACAGGGATTGATGTCACATGGAGAAAAGACGATAAAGGGCCAAAGAATGCGCTTTTCATGCATGTGACATGAAATGCTCCCAAGGCTACATAGGAACAAGAAAAACCAATCTCGTTGGTGACAAAAATTCTAATTTATATGCCTTTTTCTTCGTTGTTTACTAAATTAAATTATATTATATTGTCAACATCTGCTTGTAATTGTTTATATTATTATCTCATCCAATCCCAAATTGTCTGCTAATTAGGTGGCAGTAAATTGTTAAGAATTAGCCATAAAACAAGCATATTCCTTGACAGGGATCTTTGCTCCAGAGACTGAATTTTAATTTTTTTTGGTCTCAAGTGTTCACATGAAACCTTGTTAGGTCAAGTCAAGGGTGGCAAAACATGGGACTTGATCTTCCTTCTTAATCCCTTACCTTCCTAGGAGAGTTGTCCTTTTGGATTGTCAAACTTTGCTTGGGAAGTTTATCTATAAATACTTCCATTTATCACAGATTCCCTCTTGGGATAAGTGGGTCCTAACCACTAGAGTTATAAGTCTCCACATGCAAAGAAAGACTAACAATCGGTTGGAAAATTTGGTTAAATCTTTCCTAACAAGATGAAAATGTGATCAGACCACAAAATATATATGAAAATGTGAGGAAACTATGTGAAGAACGTGAGGAGTTGAAGGACAATAATTATATTCATCTGCAGCCTTCGGACCCATAAGTTATGGTGTGGCTATGATTTGGGGGACATTTTCTCTTCCTACCCATTTGCCAACAAGAGAAGGTGGGACAGATCACTTGAGAACATGGCTGTGATCCATTTTCCCTAAATTCAAAATTTGATACACAAAAGTTATTTACAGCAAGCAACCGACAGACAGCTAAAATCTAACTACAAACCTTTGCAGTGGAAATATACAAGTATAGTAGAATTACAGTTTCCTTTTTAACCATCAATCAGATATAGTAGACTTGAAGCATCAGCCCTCACATTGTTCACAAATCTGGGAATTACTGTACACGTTTTAGGAACTTGCGGATTGAAGTGCTTACAAGGACGTAGTTTGGCAGCGTCTTTTCTTCAAATGCACCTAAATATGAGGACATTATGATCAGCACGTATCATTTGGAGCACATATAATAATGCACAAGGAAAGCATTAAGGGGAAATATAACATGAATGTCAATGTCAATGTCAATGTCAATGTCAATGTCAATGACAAACTGCTTGAGCCATGGCCATAAGCTTATAACATGGACCTTTCCATAGGCACGTGTGTGTTTTATGACCACAACGGACACTTCATTGGTTTTGTCTGAAGCCTAAACATTGTCTCCACTGTTTCATTTTTTGATTTTGGATAGGTTGTATCAAATGTTAATACTAATCCCTCTGTGCACACGTTCCTATATTTTTGTGTGTTACGAACGGTAGAAGCAAACCGTGTTGCTTTGTGAGTGAGGAAAACAAAAAATTACAGCACAAACTTTGATTGTAACAGCAGAAGGCATGGAGGGTTTTGACAAAAACATGTTATAAGAACTTGTAAAAATGAAAGATGCAATCCGGGAACTCTGTGATTCACCTTAGAAGACAACGGAGGTAAAGAAGCCTGGCGGAGTCCTGATCTCCTCCAAAAGCTTTGTTGGAGATTTTTTACTTTCTCCATGCTCAGAAGAGGAAGAGGAAGCTAACTTCTCTTTTATCTCTTCTAGCATTTGTAAGTTCAACCTCAGTGTCAATCTTCCACCTTTCACTATTTACTGCAGACAAAGAATTCTTTGTTGAGTCAATGACCAAGGTTTTGCATTGGGAGTTATCCAACATTGGTAACCCACAATGCATTTCCAAAGAACTTGTATTAACTTTAGGTTCAGTATCTACCCGGCTTGTGCTTTGAAAAGCTTGTACTAACTCACTGCTTGCAGAAGCTCCAAATGTATGAGTCAAATCCTGGGATCCATCCAATGCAGTATAAATTGATGATTTACTTTCTTCTTTCCAAAGTTCAGTTTTACCATCAATGACATGAACATCATAAACAGCTGGCTCTGTATCAAGCATTGAACTATGCAAACTGCTCTCAATATTCCCACGTTGCTGCTGCTCTTCATCATCAGAATATAAGGTTTTCTCAATATCAATATTCTCCTGGGATGCTTGAGTGGTCATTCCTTGGTACATTACATCATCCGTGTGTACTTTTTCTTCCCCTGCTGAAATAACACATTTCTCAATTGAACCATGCCCATTATGATGGATTTGTTTTTCAACAAATGAAGCCTCATATTCAGAATTACTATCTGCAATATCTCCGAATTTCTTACAGTTATATTTAGTATCATCAGTCTGCTGCAGCATCATTAGAGGATCTGTATTAAATGAAGGTGAAGACTTTTGTCCCAATTCACGCAACATATCACTCAAATCACCATTACATTGTTCTTTTCCTGAAAAGCTCATCTGCCTATATGCTTCAACTTCCTTCTCCAAGAAATGGTTCTCCTTCTCCCTCCTAAGAAGAATCTCTTTCAGAACATCCATCTCCTCTTCATCATAAACAAACTTTTCTTCTATCATCCTTTGGTACTGTCTCACTTCCATTTCTATTGATGCTTTATCCTTTTGCAGACGCGATATCATGGCCATCGCTTCATCAGCAGCAGTTGCAGCGGCACCTCTCTCTTTCTCTAGCTCCAGATAAAGAGCAGCACAAGAAGCTCTCTCTTTTTGCAGCGCTTCTTGCAATATCCTGATTGTATCCATTTCGTTTCCAACAATAGGAGCCTTTTCTTTTATGTCCACACCCTTACTCTCACCAGCTGGTCCACTCAACTTAGAAGTTTGGCATTCCTCCATATTATCTCCAGTTGGTGCTTTCGCATCATCTAAAATGAAAGAACCACACAAATGAGCAAACACCATTGCCAATATTCCAAAGCTAAGAGTTCATATGCAACCAATTCCAGTTTTAAATATTCTAAGAACCAGAATCGCAACAAAGTTGTTAAACACCACATTCTAATAGACATATGAATCCACACTTTAAATAAATGGTTAGTCTATATCCAAAAATATGAACTTAAGTGACGGAAGCAACTACTAAACAAGTCACTCACCCTGAGAACCATCTTCTCTCCCAGCTACGGCAACTGAGCTTTCACCAGATGTCTCTCTTGTATCTCTGTCATCACATGGAAAGGGGAATATACGAGCAGCTGACCTCAAACTATCATTTGACAATGGAGAAGGAAGCTTTCCGTATTCAGGAGCAGCCCTCCTAGAGCGTCGAATTCCAGGCCTTTTCTTTAGAACCATTATCCTCTTCCCCTTGGTATCATACCCACTTTCCCTATCAACCAAATTTTGCAATTTTGGACTTGAATACGCACTAGAATATGCTTCACTTTCAAACTCATGAACTCCATTCTCACAATTCACATCTCTAATCAATTTCAAATTCAAGTTGGACCTTTGATCCTTAGACCAAACAACATCAAAAGGGAACTTGCTCTTCACCAACTCCAGAACAACACGGATCCTTGCAACTGGCCCATCAATAAGTAACTTATGCAAGCAAAGATCACGGTTTCTATACCCCAAGAACCCATTACAAGGACATGGCAAATAAACCCAAAAAATCTTCAAAAATTTCGATGCAAAAAACACAAAAGCAGATACACATAGCAGGAAATAAGCCAGAGCAAGCTCGAGAAAAGCTCCTACAATAACACCTAAGGTCCACGGCGGAACTTCCTGGCAAGCCAAAGCCATCCTTTAAAAAAAAAAAAAAAAAGAGAGATCAAACTTCAAGGATTCCACTGAAGTGTGGCAGAAGATTTGCTGATTTGGGTGCAAAGAGTTCACCAACCCAATTGGTCAATATTAAAATATTAAAAGAGAAATGCTATAAAACAACCCTATACTTCTAATTGAAAATAGCGGACAACGATTATTTAAAAAATCCTTGGAAGAAAAAAATAATCAAAGATTCTCCAGAAATTGTGAGCTGATAATCATGGCCTACACAAGCACGCATCTTCAACTTCAAGTAAATTAATCACTCCACCTAGAATACAAGTCAAAGAAAATGAACCATACAAAAAACTTAGCCAATAAGGAAGCAGAATTAAATGAAAAAAAAAAATATTAAAGGCCTTAACTTTAACAGAAAATTGGTAACTTGGAGAGCTGAAATGGAAAACCCACTAAGGATTTGTGAAGATCGTGATGGGTTTGGAGCCGCGAGGTCTGAGAAACTTCGCAGAGCTCTGGAAAGAGACGGGATTTGAATTGGGAAAGAAAGTCTAACTGACTGTTGACATTTCAGGGGTCATCTACTAAGTTGTTTTTACAAATAAAGCCAACTTTCGACCCAAAAAAAAGTACAAATAAAGCCAACTACTTTTTTGATTTTCGCCAAATTTCCAACGCGTTTTGGTAAACTGTAATATCCGCGCGCCAAAGAGCCACCTCTTAGGTGGTAGGGTGCGACGTTGTATGGTGGACGGATTGCGACATCTTTTTTCGTGTCGCTTGTGGATCATGTTAGGCCGCTTTGTGAGCTCCTTACGAGGAGGGGCACCTTGGGCCGAAAGAGAAGAGACAATATAATAGGTAAATTATTATCAATCCAATATAATATACTTACAAATTTACATATATATATCTTGTATACTATATCTAATACGGGTAGATAAATTATTTTCACAATATAACTATAAATATGTTGGCTTTAATATACTTGCAATATACGCATAATAGGTAAATTACAAGTTATATTATTGCATAATAGAAAATTATTCGGTAAATTATATCCAAGATGCGTTTATAAAATTTGAGTATATTATTTGAATAATAAATAAATTCATATTAGGTACATTATTTTTAGTAAAAGAAGTAATAGGTACGTTATCTTTTCAACGTAAAATTTTATGTATGCTATTATAGTTATAAAATAATAAAATAATAGATAATTCATAAGTAAATAAAAATACATTTTTATTATTAAATAAACCGATTAGATATGTTAAATATGAATTTATTGTTAAATTTTAAAGTTTCAAATTAATTCCTACATCCATTTGGAGATCTTTCCAAATTCAACGTGTGTCATTAGTTACAATCCAATTAAAATTTGTTTCTATATTGGTTCTTACATTAATGTACAAAATGCAATAATAGCTTAGTTGAGGGTATTTTAGGAATCGAAAAAGTACAATAAATTCAATTTTGCGCTTGATTACATAACTTGCCAATTGGATCCTAGTCAATGAATTTTATTTAGAAAAAACATGATTTTATTCAAACAAAAATAAAGATGGGTTGTAGTTCAGCAAAAATGACTTTGAAAGGGCTCAATTTACTGTTATATAAATTGGCCTAATATAATATAATGTACTTACAAATTTACCTATATATCTTGTATATATCCAATACATGTAGATAAATTATTTTCACAATGTACCTATAAATGTGTTGGCTTTAATATACCTGCAATATACCCATAATAGGTAAATTACAAATTATATTATTTCATAATAGGAAATTATTAGGTAAATTATATCCAAAATGCGTTTATTAGTTTGGGGTATTTTAGGAATAAAAAAAAGTACAATAAATTTGATTTTACGCTTGATTACGTAACTTGCTGAGTTGGATCCTAGTCAATGGAGTTTATGTAGGAAAAACACATGATTTTATTCAAACAAAAATAGAGAGATGAATTGTAGTCGAGGAAAAATGATTTTGAAGGGGTTAAGCTAAATTTACTATTATATAAATCCTTATTATATTGTAGGGTTTGGTCGATAATTTGCAATATTAGACCTCGGTTTATAAAGAAAGTTGCTAGTGTGATTGGGATTAGGAACAATAATAAAACTTAGAAAATGATTAGGTTTCTCCCATTCCCATATTATATAAAAGGTAATGATTTCCCCACTCCAATTTTATCCACTTACACTCATTCTTTAGTTATAAAATAGAGTATAAGTGGATAAAATTGGAGTGGGGAAATCACCACTTTATATAAAATAAAACCCCAAGTCCATAACATAACAACAATAATATTAACTAGCCCCTTGGCACATGCTCGCGCATGTGCCAATTGGTTTTCTTTTTTATTTCATATTTTATTTTTAGAATTAAGAAAAAATAACATGGGTAGTTATGTTCCATTAAAGTGTGACCTATTATCTTTTTCTGTCTTTTGCTTTATATATATAGATTTATATATATATATATATATATATATATATACAAAAATAATATTAATAATACAAATAATAAAAACCAAAGGATCATCTTGGACAAGGCTCCCGAAGAAATCATATACGAAATCTTGCTAAGGTTACCCGTCAACTTGAGCTCAAAGTGTTGCTAAGGTTACCTGTCAACTTAATGCATTTACATACTAAATGCAACAACATATTAAATAAATTTTAATTCATCAGTTAGCACTTGCTTTTCACTTATTATGTATTATGTTTTCTTAAGTTAATTTCAAAAGTTTAGGTTTTTTTTGGTAAAATTTAAATATGCTTTCACTTTCAAACTCACGAACTCTAGTCTCACAATTCATATCTTTCATCAATTTCAAATTCAAGGGTCTTAGTAAGGCCCTCGCTATAGAATGACTCCGGTTTTTGTATCCCACGAGCCCATTACAAGGACAAGGTGCAGAAACCCAAAAAATCTTCAAAAACTTCAATGCAAAAAACGCAAAAGTAATACACATTGCAGGAAATATGCGAGCAAGGTCGAGAAAAAGCTCCTACAAACAAGACCACCTAATAAGGTGGGGTACGACGTCGTATGGTAGACGGATTACGACATCTTTTTTAGTGTCGCTTATGGATCATGTTGGGCCGCTTTATAAGAGGAAGAAGCGGGTTGGGCCGAATATCATCATTAACTAGAAAAGGATTAAACGGTGAATATCTTCCTACCTTGGGGCCCATTCGCGAATAAGTAAAAATAGACATTGTCCTTTCGATCCTACTAGATGACAAAAACTATAAGAGTATTATTGACTTTTTAAACTTCATTTGTGTGCACGAAATCACCCATCTTAGATAATCTTTCTTGCATATTACTTTGAGTTGTTTTTGCTTAAGTTGAGAATTTCTTCACTATAGAACAGAGCAAACCATAATGTCCCCATGAATGAAGTGTGAGCCAACCATCATGTAGTTGGAGACATGATATCGGTACTTCAAAATTTCTTTTAAATTACTTCATGCACTTCTCGTGTGTGAATGATGAAAGAGTATGAGAGATGAGATTTTGATTGCCAAAAATATTTTTATGTTAAGAATTGCTAAGAACTTATAATCTCAGGAATCCGTTAGATATGGTAGTAAGTTAAATACTTTTTTAAGATGTGCCTACATGCGATCCAATAGTTAAAATACTTAATGGAGCATTTCTCTTATAATTAATATGTGCAAAAGAGATGACAATTTCATAAGATACATATGATAAGATCTTCTTTTTTCCCCCAGTAAATATAGCTCCAACGGTAAGAACACTTTGGAAATAAACAAGATAAAAAAAAACTGTAAAATTCATCTACTTCCTTATAAAAACGTTTTGAGAAAATGTAGATGAAGTTTACAGTTTTTTTTATTCCAAAGGTTCTACAACGAAGTGGCTCAGTTGTGGACGATGCTAGAGTGGCATTTGTAAAGAAATCTTGGCGGTTTTGATTCCATGTGTTTGAATGTGATTGTTTTGTGAGAGGGACGGGAGGGGAGATATATCCTTCCTATATTAAGAAAAAAGTAAAAGGGTCTTGTAGAAAACCTAGCCCACCACACGACCAAAAATACAAATTTGTGAGCATCTCAGTCTTTCTAAATAGAGCATATATGATATACCTCTCGCTCCCGTCCCCTCCTCACAAACCACTCACATTCAAACACATGGTGCCGCGCCCATCTTTCTTTACAAATGCCACTTAGTCAACAGCTGACCCACTTTGCCGGCTCTAACGGTGGTCACACAGACAGCTCTACAAATCCAGGAGGAGAAAGCAGATGTCTCCAATATCAGTTTTAGCACAAGGGTATTCGCTACGCCCACCCATTTGGACACCCAACTTGTCAAATCGACAACTTGGTAGGCTTTCAAGCTGTGTCAGTGGCAGAGGCAAATTGTTGACGAATGGGAACAAATATGTGTTAGTTTCCAACCTCTCCAGACCCCAAACGTTCAGGTAACTTAGCTTTATTTGGTAATTTTTAGTTATGCTGAGGCTCGGTTGCTGAGAAACAGAGGGAAAGAAGAGGGAAACTATGTCATGAAGACATGCTTAAAGGGTATTGAAAATGAAAACCCAGCTCATGAATAAGCTTTTTTTCCTGTCACAAGTACTTTTTTGTGCCGTTACATGGTGATTTCTGTAAGCTTCGTGCGCATAATTTAACATATGAAGTTCAAGATAGTTCAGCATTGCATTCTCATAACTTAATCTAAGAAGTTCAGAGGAAATCAAATTTGGTGGTATTAGTTGGTTGAAAGTTTAAATATTTTCTCGGTTTGTTCATTATGACTTTAATTTTTGTACAAGCAGGATTAGAAGCTTTTCACAGGAAGATGCAGAAAATAATGAGGTTGCAATGTCTAATGACAATCTGGATGGGCAAAATGTGACTGCAGATGAGCTGCTTGGAAATGTTAAAAATGTTCAAATTAGTACAGAGAGTTCATTTCTCGCTAAAATAGCAATTGCACTAGGCATAGCAGCAACAATCACTCTAATATCTGTAGGCATCAAGGGTCCCCCCACTATTGGGTCATCAAATGGATTTCAGTTCCTCCCAGAAAGTGCAACCTCTTCAGTAATGGCTGCAGCCCCGGTCGGTTTCACTGTCAAAGCTTTTGGGTATAGCATCGTTCTTCCAGCAAATGCACCAGGGTATATGCTCAACTTCACTTCTTGCTAGGAGTCTTTTCTTAAACTAGCCTGATGGCAACTGTCTTAACCTTTTTGGTTATAGCCATTTGAAAGACACTGCCGTGTTATTTATATTCCCATTTATAAGTAGAATATTACTTTGTTGCTTCCTGTTCTTCACTATGCAAGTTGTGATTCTTGATGAGCTGGGACAAAATAGAAAGATGAATTAGAGGTTCAAGGATAGGACTGCCCAGTCAAGTATGCTTTAACTCATTCAGTAATTTAATTCTTGATTTGTTTCTGAATCATGCATGGATATATCATGTTGCAGGTGGATCTACTTTTGGTTGCTTATGGCTGCAGGCTGTGGACTTTTCATTAGTGAAGAGGCTCTAAATATTTGGGTCTGTCCTCTGTTCTGGTATTCTGTTTCACAAGCTCTTATATTTAACTTGTTGGGTTTATTACTGTTTTGATCTCCATGGTTTCAGTGCTAGTTTGAACTTGTGAATAATCTTTACAAAACCATCTAGGTTGGCATATCTTTGGCTCGAATGGTGTCTTTGGATGGAACATGGCAGTCGTTCGCTGAATCTTTCTCAAGAAATGCTCCATACATTATATCCACAACTCTTTGGGTGTATTGGTAATTGGTGATGCCATTTAAATTTTTAGAACTTTACATGCCATGGTTACCTTTATTATCCTAAAAGAAAAATCAGCTGTGGTTAGTATAGCTTCTCTATAGGATTGTAGGCATACTTTTTACAAATACTGGTTTATGTGCAGGCTATCTGTCTATTGCTACACGTAATATGACTAGGCTAATACAACTGGATGTTTTCATATTTCAGGGGAGTATGCATTAGTGATCTGATACCATTTTATCTTGGGAAGCTATTTAGGAAATCCAGGACCTCTGATGATATTTTGTCAAAGGTTAGTCCTACTCCTACCTTTTTGCTTCTGTTTCTTATACATTCTGAGGAGTTAGGACAAAACCCATACATGAGCAGTACATACATTTTGAGTGTTAGTTCCCATGAAGCACATATTTGAGTATTTTAATTTTTAATGAATTTTAACCTGATGATGGATGCAGTTAGGGATTGGAAAAGAGAAAGCTTTAAGCATTACCTCTGAAGTGCAAAGATATGGCAACCTCATTGGGTTTGGTGAGCTCTAGAGCTTATTTATTTTAGTTGCATATGATTCTATTTTGAATGTCCAAAAGTTCATGAATGATTCATAGTTTCAGTTATGAGTCAATGACTAAACATACTCCTATAGGAAATATACATTCAAATTTCAGGTGGCATTGAATAATTTGACAGGTAACAATTCGGGTGATTCACAGCTGTAGTTGTGCTTGGTATATCTAATAGCTCATATATGTTTTTGCAAGCTATAACAGAGTTTAGTTGCTATCTTCTATGTGTAAAAATTATGCATTTTTTGGGTAAGAATTATGCACTTTAATAGTCTTTGCACGCAAGTATACTCAACCATTTCTGATTGTAAACATGTTCAATATCATTTTTCAGTCGATTACATGTGCAGCAGCTTGAGCAATCCATAATTGCTTGATTCTGCTATTCGATAGTAACATTTTAGTGCATTTTGACTTTCAGTTGAACGATTTTCCCTTGGAGTCAGAAATCCAACAGCTTTTGTAGCAGGGGCCTTGGTTAGTCAAATATAATTCACCTTTTACAGTTGATTGATAATTGCTTCAACTGTCTTGGGAATGACATGCTTTTATCTGAGTGCAGGGTATCTCTTCAGAGTGTTTCTTTGCTGGTGTTTGTTTTGGTGGTTTGATCACCCTTCCCGTCCAGGTCTGTTCTGCTCTGTTAGAGATTCTGCTGCCCAATATACGCATAGCTAGTTGTGAAACTCTAGCATATGCTGAAAACTAGGGAGAAGATATGTCATGTGTGGCGAGTTTGGGTGTAATCCATTACTGAACTTGCAATACTTAGAAATGAGTTAAAATTTGCAAGTTTCAAATTTTCGTGGTTTTTGAAGGGTTTTGTATGAAAATATGCTGGAAAAACCTGTACAATAATCAACAGCGTTTTCAAGATTCTGTATTTGGGGCTATTTGATTCTTTAGTCTGGAACTTTGCTTTCTTGGCAATGACTAAAGTTGGCTCTATAGGAAGACAAGAAATTGATATACAACCTTCTAGTTCAACTACTAACTCAACTTATTCTCTTCGCTTTCTGATCTCAGTTGTTGATAGGATTCTTCTTGAGGGAGCGCCCTGTCTTTGCCCTTGCTACTGTTGCAACAGCAGTGGTATGCTCTTCATTTCATATATCAAATTATTAATTTCATTTATCAAATTATCACTATTGTAACTACATATCTGACTTGAAAATCATCCAGGGCATTTGGACCGTCTTCCCTTATCTTGTGGCTGCATCAACAGCATTGTTCCTTTACCTGAGACGCCATTACTCTCCATAGTCAGAATGGATTCCCAGATATAGAGGATAGAAGCTACTCTATGTATATAACTATATATACAGAAAAATTACTGTGATTATTTTTTGGAGAAAGATCCAATATAAAATTTGCTATTGGACACATTGTAGATATAAGTTGTCATAATAGACTTTAACATGAAGCAAGTTGTTTCTAATTACAAGCTCAAACTTACAAATCCCATGGTCCCTACGGCATGTGTTTGAAATTGAACCCAAAAAAAATAAATTCATTTGCTTCAATTAACAGATACAATAGAATTTTAAAGACACAGAATTTTGGAATAGATTTATACAATAATAATTTAGTCTTTCCAACAAAACAAAACCAAAAAGGTGTTCTTTATGAAATAATTTAATCTCAGCTCTCCCCTCAGTTTTCAGATGATTCGCAGAACAGACCTGTAGAAGTTGTAAATTTCGAGTTCACATTTCATGTGATGCGAGATACGATAGTTGAATGCTGTAAGCTTCTTTGAGCTCAGCCAACACCTCTGCTATGGTTGGCCTCTGTGATGCATCTCTCTCTACAGACCTTATAGCAACTAAGGCTGCCTTTTTCATGCTTTGGACATCAAATCTTTCCTCTAGGCTCTCATCCACTATCTCATATGCACCTGCCTGTAAGTAAGGCTTGGCCTGCACTCGTAAAAAAAAAATACAAAGAAAGAAGACTGATATTTGGCCCAAAGAAGAACATTGACAGACAAAGAACAAAGTAGAAAGGAAGTTAGATGTTTGGTTTACCCATAACACCAAATTAAAGGAGTCTGGAGTTCCAGAGTGGCTCAATGGCTCTCTCCCACAAATGAGCTCCAGAAGAACAACTCCGAAGCTATAGACGTCACTTTTTTCAGTAAGCTGTTGGGTTGAGTAATATCTGTGCAGTTCAGTTTGAATCCATCAACAGGTGAAGAAAAGAATCGGTTAAGAATTAACAACATTACATAATGTTTTCGAAGACCTACTCAGGATCAAGATAGCCGGCGGTGCCCTTGACAACAGTGGTCACATGAGTTGCGTCTGCCTGCATTACTTGCTTCGACAGGCCAAAATCACAAACCTTAGCATTCATTTCCTTGTCTAAAAGAATGTTACTGCATTTCACATCTCGATGTATGATTCGAGGTTCGTTCCCATTGTGCAGATAGTCCAATCCTTCAAAAGAAATGAGGTTCATAATTCAGATAGAGCTTTGAAAACAGAATATGAGAACATTAAGATGGATCAGAAGCAGAAACACAAGCATACCTTTTGCAGCATCAACAGCAATTTTCAGTCTGCGAACCCAACTCAGTGAAACTTTTTTACTGTTTGGACCTGAAAGTGACGTAAGTTATAAGTTGGGAATGCAACTTTGCAAAAAGGAACTGTAATGATTCTATTTATGCATAATGTTTAACAAACCATAAAGGTGGTCAGCCAATGATCCACCAGGAAGATACTCATAAACAAGTATTTGCTGCTTTGCTTCATGACAGAACCCTTCCAAGCACACAAGATTTTGATGCCGAATTCGAGACAATAGATTCACCTAAAACAAACCAAGGAAGGTACAAGTCACCTTTTGCAATATAAGATTGAGAATTTAATTTCTCTGCTTTATAAGCGGGCAGTAATATGCTAAAGGAGTTCAGATGGGGAACCTCATTGATAAAAGAATCAGCCCCAAGTTGGCTTCTATCAAACCGCACTTTCACAGCCACCAATTTTCCATCTGAAAGCCTTCCAAAGTAAACAGAACCAAAACTTCCACGGCCTATGACCTCCTTGAAATTGTTGGTGGCTGCTTTGATTTCTTTGTGGGTAAAAACTCTTGCTGCATTCCAGTTACGCATATCTGACACTGCCCCTAAACATTAAAAAGAAGTTCTCATGAAAGACTGAAGTAAAAGGCTTCCATGCACATAATCATAATCCTGGATGTTTACGTACTTTCTGTGGATGTGATTTCAGTTCTCTTTTTCCTCATGTACAAGAATGCTAAAATAGAGAAAAATATCACAAGTGCAAGTAAAGCTCCTCCAATTGCACCAAGTATAATTGCTAACTGATTGTGTTCAGTGTGTTTCTTTCCGGTGAAGATAGTAACTTGTGGTATCTCAATTGAAGAGTTGGCTGAAAAATCATTGCATCTCAATGTTGAGAAAGAGAGGCACAAATTTCCTGATGCTCTGCACAAAATTGGTGCATCAGCAAGCAGAACAAATGTACAGATGACGAGGGACAACATGATGACAATACTAATT